GATTTCGGTATTGCCCATCTGGTGATGTCCATGTGTAGAATCGCCTCTTGTGTTGTTGGAAAAAAGTGTTTGTGATGACCAGCTTCTTTTCTTGACAAAACTCTATTAGCCTTTGCACTGCTTTGTTTTGAACTCCAAGGCCAAACTTCCCTGTTGTTCCTTTTATCTCTTGACTCCCTACTTTAGCATTCTAGTCCTCTATAATGACAAGAACATCTTTCTTTGGTATCAGTTCTAGAAGGTGTTGTAAGTCTTCATAGAATTGATCAGTTTCAGCCTCCTTAGCACTGGTGGTTGGTGCATAAACCTAGATTACTGTGATGTTGAAAGTTCTGCCTTGGATTCGTATTGAAATCAATCTGTCATTTTTGAGATGGTATCCCAGTACAGCTTTCCCCACTCGTTCGCTGACTATGAAGGCTATTTCATTTCATCTACGGGATTCTTGCCCACAATGGTAGATATGAGAATCATCTGAATTGAATTTGCCCATTCCCATCCATTTTAGTTCACTGATGCCCAGGATGTCAATGTTGATTCTTGCCATGTCCTGTTTGACCACATCAAGTTTACCAAGGTTCATAGATCTTACATTCTAGGTTCCTATGCAGTATTTTTCTTTGCAGCATTGGATTTTCCTTTCACTTCCAGGCGCGTCCACAGCTGGGCGTCCTTTCGGCTTTGGCCCAACTACTTCATTAGCTCTGGAGCTACTTGTCCTTGTCCTCCGCTCTTCCTCAGTAGCATGTTGGATACCTTCCGTCCTGATATGACACTCATCTTCCAGCGTCATATCTTTTAGCCTTTTGTTTCTCTCCATGGAGTTTTCTTGGCAAATATACTGGGATAGCTTGCCAGTTCCTGCTCCAGATGGATTGCGTTTAGTCAGAACTCTCCACTATGACCTGTCCATCTTGGGTGTCCCTGCACGGCATAGCCCATAGCTTCTCTGAATTACTCAAGCCCCTTTGCCAGAACAAGACAGCAGTCCGTGAAGTGGAAGATCTGCCTTAAAGGTAAAGGTAAAGGTTCAAAAGCAAGATGATGGAGCTGGTAGCTTAAGAGCCAAGAAAACATCTGAGCTCTGTTGATGAAGTATCTAGAAATGCCTGTTTATTCCCTCTCATCATAATTGATGGCTGGTGGACACAGTTGGTCCAGCTTCTCAGCTGAGACCTCTCTGGCTTGGATGACCCTTCAGACAGAGACATTACTACCAGCATAGCTCTCAAAGTCACTGAAGCACGCAAGACCCTTCACCTCAACAAGGCCTGTATCTATGGAGGGGATGATGATGATTAAATTAAAACTCTCTTAATCTCAATGACTTTCATTTCTGATGAATATGCACTGGATTTTTATAGCATCCAAAAAGGATGAAATGTACCACCAAAAAGGGCACAAAACATCCATGCCCTCATAGTTTATATAACAACAATAATGCACCATCAAGTCAATTCTGAATTGTGGCAACTCTTTTTTCATGGTTTTCCAGGTAGAAAACACTGAGAAGTAGTTTACCACTCTGTTATTCTGACAGTGCCCTGGGACTCTGTAGCTTGCCCAAGGTCACACAGGCTGGCTATTATGTACTTGCAGGAGGCACAGTGGGGAATCGAACTGCCAACCTCTGGCTCCGCAGTCAGATGCCTAAACAAATGAGCTATTCAGCCAAGTGGTTTACATATAGATTTATATAGAGAGATGCAAATATAGAATTTTCTAATGTAATTAGTATTTCAATATATTATTTAAGTAAAATTACTCCATCAGTGAAACTATAAGCTGTCATGGTGTGTCCTTAGTTAGTCAGCTCACACAGACAACTCCTCCCCCTGCTCTCCTATTTTATTGGTTTTTCCTTAAACTAGACTTGGATTGAACAGCCCCACAAATGAAGGATTCTTTTAAATGGAGAGCAGCCCTGTGCAAAATAGAGAATATGTCCACTCTTCAAGAACAAAACCAAAACATAGACCTCATGCATTTTACTTCCTCTTCATTCACGTCAGCAAGCAATCTTCAAAGAAGGATCCGTCCACAGGCTCTTTGCTTGAGGGATGTATGAATGTGAGTTCTCACATTTTTCTCACATTGTGTCCCATTTACTGATAGCCAAACCTTTCACTGCAAGATCAAGGGAGAACAGGACACAGAAGTTTAGGTGAGGTAGGGCAAAGAAAAAACTGCCTGCTGACGCACCTCTTCTTCCTCTTCAGAGACTATCAGTTGTTTCTGCAGCCACCTGCCTGGCCCAAATCAACCTCAAGATGACAGTCATTTCCCTTATGAAGTATCTGATGTTTGTGTTCAACGGGCTGGTGTTTGTGAGTATCTGATGGGGCTGCATGTGCGCACACACAAATATTCACCACAGAAACTGTGTAATTGGCACAGATAAGGACTGCCTCAGCTCAGAGTCTCAGACTAACATCATGCGTTGCTTCAGATACAACGAGCAGATAGTTGTACCTCAACTGATTTTTCAAAATCTGCAGTGTTTTTCCCTTATACACTATGGGGGGAAAAACACCCATTCAAGTATACATTTTTTTAATGGATACTCGTGTCCTAATATGTGGTCTTAGAGGCAATTTAAATGAGTCTTTAGGTGGCTAGGTTAGCCCTCTCCCATTTTTTAAAAGACAGGTAACTGTGGGAGGGAGTTGTAAATAAAAACATACGAAACTTATAAGTTTTAATTTCTGCTTTATTTGTACTAAATTTAAATTTTAAAAAATGCAAAAACCGGAAAATTGATTAATGCGAGGATTAGAAATGTTTGTTACAAACAAGACACAAGCCCCTGCACCATCTTTTAGTTCTGGTATAAGAGAAGAGTGGGCAGAGAAAGACAGTATGTGCACATTTATGAGCTGGCACTTGATCAGAGAGGCAGGCAGAACAGAAGTAAGAGGATGGCATTTCTGGATGTCAGGATCTCCAAGATACAATCCCCTCAAATCCTGAAAGCCTTAGTGAAAAACAAACAGAAAAACAGAACCTGAATCCCAAACCAAGTATGTGCGGTAATGTGCCCGAGTTATATTTTCAATCTGTTGGGGGAAGCTCAGACCTTCCAGAATTGTTTAAAAATAAATACTAAATTAGCTGCCTTACTTAGACTGAATAAATAGTAACAAGATCCCTAGTCTAAGCAGCTAAGGTAACTGGAACTAGGCCAGGTTGCTCTGAGAAATGCACATTTTCCCCAACTCTATAATAAGATAATTATACTAAAAATAAAAAAGGCTGAAACAAAGAAGAGAATGCAATGCAAGCGGCAAGTAACGGAGACATTTTTGAAAGATATACAAGAAGTGCAATAATAAATCTAACTATTGAATTGAACTATAAATACCACGTGGAGGCGCTGCGGGCTAAACCGCAGAAGCCTGTGCTGCAGGGTCAGAAGACCAGCAGTCGTAAGATCGAATCCACGCGACGGAGTGAGCTCCTGTCGCTTGTCCCAGCTCTCGCCAACCTAGCGGTTCGAAAGCATGCAAATGCGAGTAGATCAATAGGAACCACCTTGGTGGGAAGGTAACAGCGTTCCGTGTCTAACTCGCACTGGCCATGTGACCACGGAAGATTGTCTTCGGACAAAACGCTGGCTCTATGGCTTGGAAACGGGGATGAGCACCACCCCCTAGAGTCGAACACGACTGGACAAAAATTGTCAAGGGGAACCTTTATCTTTACCTATAAATACCACTAGCAGGTGAAATCCGAAGATGAGTACATGGAAGAGCATTACACTCAGTAAATGGACCCCCAGATCCAAAGGCCTGCAAACAGAGCAAAAGCTTGAACATGAGCTAGGGTGCAAAGATGCAAAGGCTAACTTTTTATAACACAACTCCCTAACTGACCATTTGGTTCCAATTAGCCATCAAAAGAGATGGGCAAGCAGCTGTGCTGCATACGAGTCAAAGTCTGCAAGAGTAGAACTTAATCATGCTACAGACATCTAGGGATACCATTTCCTCTCTAGGAGGTGGGTAGCCTGGAGTAGAAAGTTGGGAGGATTAGTCTCTGTGCCTTTCTGGGTTAAAATTTAAAGTGAATGTTAGGGCAGAGAACCACCTTGTGTTGGTTTTCATATCATTCCCTCTCAGGGAAAAAAATAACAAGATGAGATCTGTGCAGTTAGAAGTGAAGCTGCCCTAAGAAGTAAATGATATCTATTAATCCTCCTTGTTGTTCTGCAGCTTTGGAAGTTGCCAACTGAGTGGGTTTTGTCTGGAGATTAATCAACAAGAGGCAAATGCCAGCTTCATTTGAATGCATAGTGGCTTTGACGAATGCATCTCTGGAGTGATAATGTCCCCCACCCCACCCCACTGTTTTCTAATTGTGAAGTTGTTGCTTGCTCTCTTTCTGCTTTCAGAGAGAACTCTAGAGTCAATATCCTCTTGGCTGAGATGAGAACTGTTAGACCAATCATTTTACAACTTGGAATATTACACAAGTAGTAACCTTGAATTACTACTTGGGTAAGTAACCCAAGGCAAGAGGAGAAGGGGACGACAGAGGGAATGATAGAGGACGAGATGGTTGGACAGTGTCATTGAAGCTACCAATATGAATTTGACCCAACTCCAGGAGGCAGTGGAAGACAGGAGGGCCTGGCGTGCTCTGGTCCATGGGGTCACGAAGAGTCAGACACAACTTAACAACAAGTAACCTTCACTTTGTGTCTTTTTCAGATTGGGGGCATCTGCCTCCTGTCCGTAGGAATCTGGGTGATAACTGACCCAGATGGAGTTCAGAATATCGTCTCCAATCCTTACCTCAATGCAGTAGCTTTCCTTGTTGTCTTTTTGGGTGTTGCACTCTCATTCCTGGGCTTCTTGGGCTGCTATGGAGCCATCTCTCAAAACAGAGAAATGTTGTTGTTTGTAAGTAAAATGGGGTTTGTTGGGAGTGGATATTGAATTAAAGGGGATCCAGGAAGGGATTAACCAGGGGGTAAGACCAGCATACCTAGTACAGAGTATGATATATTGGTCCGTATGCTGAGCAGAGTGAGTATTTATTTATTTATTTGAATTTTATACCGCCCATCTGGCTACCAAGGCCACTGTGGGTGATTTACAAAAGCAGTAATAAAAGCAATAACATAAAAACCAGAAATAATCTATCATGCTAGTCGTTGCAGGGATTATGTATTAGTGGCAGGCTGCTTGTGAACTTCAGAATTGATAATTTTGAGCCAATATATTTCAGGATCAAAGTCTACTGGCAACTTCAATAAACAGGTAGATTTAACAACACTTGCAGGTAGTTCCACCCCCATTTCTAGCATAAAGCACTAAAGAAGAAGTGACCTGATTCTTGTTTTGCCTACTCTTTCCATCCCACAGTTTTTTCTCTTGGTGCTGCTGGCCTTTATACTGGAGATTGTAGCTGCTGTGCTCATTCACATCCATGGACAAAAGGTAACTAACAACCGCATCTGGGTAGTTGGTACTAGAAGTAGCTGCATTCTTTATGCACTCTTGACTCTACCTTTGTCACTGCTACAGAGTTTCCACCACACTTGAGACTGGCTTTCTCCCTGTGTGCAAGAATTTAGTGGCTGGAAATTAGTTTTAATTTTAATTTACTAAGGGTTACTGAGCAAAAATGTGTCCTGGGTGGCATATTTATTTTGTTTTATTTATTAGATTTTTACCCCACCCCTCTAGACTATATAAATACCATTTACAAAAAGACTATCATATGTATCTATTCATGCTTCAAATGCCATTCCAGGGAACCTAGCTCAAATCACCACTCCTGAGGGAAACTGGATTAGAACACTGGGGTAGCTCCAGTCACCAGGAAGAATCAGAATCAGTAAGGAGCAAGCAGTATTTTGCAAAGATCAACTTTGCTACTGTGCAAGAGTAGAAGTACAGTAGTACCTTTGTGAACACCTTACTCACCATTCTTATGTCTGAGGAAGGACCACTCAGAGTGAAGTGCTGAGACTGCTGGCTGCCTCAAGTCTCAAGACCGTCCCAGCTGCTTTCCTGCAGGAAAGCAGAAAGTATGGCTTTCTGGAAAGGCCATCGCACACCTCCCTCTGATGGCACTCAGAGCAGGGAATTGGCCCCAGCATGTGTTCTGTGAGGGGCAAGCGGTGGCAGTGGCATTAACAACAGCCCCTGCAAACCCTGCCTTAGTAGACACAGCCAGCTTGGGAGAGATAAACAACCTTCTACCTGAGGCGAGGGTTTTTAACCTTCTTTTAAGGGAGGTGGCCCTGGTTGGGATGAGAATAGCGTAAGTTGGCTGTCTCTTGTGAGTATGTAAGCTAGTTGGATAGAAAGAGTCTAAAATCAATAGAATAAACTTTTCTGGAGAGGAATGTGGGGGGATGATTTTTAGGAAACTCGTTCTGTGCATAAGAGACAATGAACCCCAAGAGACACCAGTCTTCTTAATTTGTGCTTTTCATGATTGGATGGCATGGGCTTGTTTGGAGAACGTAGTCTTTCCTTTCTTAGCACAATAGAACTGGATGAAACACAAACTGCTAAACCACACTACGAGGTGTCATTCTAAATCGGACTTTGGCAGCCCTGGCCATGGCCAAAATAATATATATTTCAGATGCTTCCCATGTTAGCAGGCTAGAGTAAGATTTCACTATTTTCTCTTTCAGATCCGAGATGACTTTTTCTTGATGCAGCTGAAACAGAATTACCAAGGAGACAATAGCTCTGATGTATTCTCTAGAACTTGGAACACCTTCATGATCATGGTACAGTTTGTCGAGAAGCTGTTGCATCTATGGCTAGTTCCATGAAAAAGAGAACACAGAATGAATATTTTAAATGTCTGAATGAATATAGTGTAATATGCCAATTTAAAGCTTATCATGTGTGTCCCTGTCATTTCAAAGCTTCATTTTAATTTCTGTTTTGAAATATAGTTGCCAGATGGTGCTGTTAACTTTCCAACAAGCAATATTAAAAATGTCCAGTATATGTTGGATAAGAGGGAAATCGTGGTGCTGTGGGTTAAACCACAGAAGCCTCTGTGCTGCAAGGTTAGAAGGCCTGCAGTCGTAAGATTGAATCCACGTGTCGGAGTGAGCTGCTGTCGCTTGTCCCAGCTCCTGCCAACCTAGCGGTTCGAAAGCATGAAAAATGCAAAACACGAGTAGATAAACAGGTACCACCATGGTGGGAAAGTAACAGCGTTCCAGATCTAGTCGTGCTGGCCACGTGTCCACGGAACGCTGGCCGCGTGTCCACGGAAGAGTATCTTCAGACAAACGCTAGCTCTATGGGTTGGAAATGGAAATGAGCACCGCCCCCTAAAGTCGGACACGACTGGACAGATTGTGAAGGGGAACCTTTACCTTTTATATATTGGATAATAAGAATTCTAGATAGCAGAGCTTTTAAAAGGCAAGGTAATACAGTACATTATTTCCAGCACATTGCTTCCACAGTCCTGTCCTCTTGGGAGTGATTCATTGGAGTGGAAGTCTGTCCTCACCCAGTTTGTTTTTCCAGGATTTTTTTTAAAAGTTCATGATTCATGTCTTGTCAGTAGCCATGAACCATGAACCATCATGAGCCACCAGTTTTCCAGTTCATGCTCATCTCTATCTATAAGCAACCAAGCACAGTAGCTTGTTTCTGTGGGAACTGCCTTTCTATCTGTGTTTGCTCCCTGACTGCCACTTGTACAAGAAGGAATGGATGCCAGATAGATGAGATAGACCCTGAGGTAAAAAAACAACAACATCCTTTTAAAATTCAAGCCTCGTGGTCTTTGTGTGCTCTGTTTTCCTATTATTATCCGTTCCTGGTCCTATTCCACTGTAGCCAGAAAGTGCCTTTGTAAGCGTTTAATAAATTATAACACAAACAAAACAAAAACCTCAAAAATTATGGCAGTTTTTGAGACTGTATGTATTTTAATGTAAGCTTCTGTGGATTGCACACCACAGGTGTTATCTTTGAAAAAGTGGATTGGTATCCACAAAATTCAAACTGAAATACTGTAAATTTATTCATCTCAAAGGTGCCTACTTACTTCTGTTTTGGTAGCTGCTGAAAGAGATTTGGCTATTTCCTTGAAAACTAAATACAATCATATCCTTTTTTAGGTTAATCCTTTGCTTTTGACACAATTATTGTAATTCAAAATTGGGAAAACCAGGTTATGGGGTGGCCAAATCTCACACTGGCCAATTAACTGCCTATCTTATATACCACCAGAAATTGTATGTATTGAGATAGTGATGCTAACAGTGACTGGGCTTTTGGACGTATAAATGTTAAAATCAACCAAATGCTCAGGAATCTGTGAGACTACAAAGACAAGATATAGATGTTCCAGTTAGAGAGTTCATTCTCAGTTGTTTTGCTGGGGAAAGGCCAGTGGGTGTAATGGAACCAGGACCTCCAAGAGTCCTGGGACTTTTTTGAATAACAGGGACTATAACATCATCTGCCATCCGTCTTAGGCTTCCATGTTCTTCTTCTTCTTTGGCTCTACTGCAATACTTAGTAGCTGGGAGAGAAATGGATTTCCCAGGAACAATCTGTTCTGGCAAGCTGTTGTGCAGATCATTTGATGGTGGTATTCTCTTGAATGAGTGATCAAGACACCTAATTGTGGGGATGAGTACATGCTTTTCCAAACTGGCCACTATACCAGTAGAAAAAACACATCACAATTTTATTGACAATTGGAAAATGTGATGAAAGCATTTTTGAGGAAATGTGACAAGGTGGGAAAATATGTACATTTTCTTAAAGGTGTGATTGTTCCTATTGACTGAAAAATCATAGGTTTTGAACAAATCACCACAAAGTATTAAAATATTCTTGGTTAGCGCATTTATTATATGCCATTTTCTTTATCTTCTTTTAGTTTGCCTGTTGTGGCATTTCAGGACCTGATGATTTTAAGGAGTGCTCCTACTTCCGGGAAAAGCAGCCAGATGACTTTTGGCCTCATGCCTGCTGCACTCAAATCAGTTCTGAAAAGAGAGCTCCAGTTCTGGACTTGAGGCTCTGTAAACAACAAGATCCAAAGTTTCTCAATAGTCAGGTAAGGTTAGGTGCCTAGCTGTGGGCTATTCAATTCCTTCTCAGATGTCTACTTATTGGGCAGAGTAGAGGTCAAGCAGGCCAATTACTAATAGAACTACATCTCCCACTGAGAAACTCTAACAGAAGCCAATGTCTAGGCCAATTTTTATATATGTATAAATACAGAGGTGCTAGTCAACTAAGGACTTAGTGCATCTGATGAGAGATCTCAGATGTGTGAAAACTTATATTGCAAAACGTATGCTTTATGTATGCAGCTGTGAATAGATTTTTGCATGGTAACTTTTCATCACATTCAAGCTCTTGGACATTTTTTGATAACATGTTATTTGACTCGCTAGCGCTAGTAAGTATATGTTCTCAAATTATTTCCGACTTAATAATACTGTATTTTTCCATGTATAGGACTATACTTTTGTCTAAAATCTTTAGACTAAAAATTGAAGGTCATCTTATGCACGGAAGTAAGCTGAGTAGAGAAAAAACCAAGTGGAGGGGAAAGCAGGGATCAAAGTGATCCTGCAGGGCTTTGACCCCTGCTTTCCCCTCCACTTGCTAAGTCTTAGCAAAAGGAAAGCAGGGATCAAAGAGCTGCAAGATGGCTTTGATCCTTGCTTTCCCCTCTGTTTACTAAATCCCATGGGGCTTAGCAAGTGTAGGGGGAAAGGATCAAAGCAATCCCATGGCTGTATAAGGGGGAAAGAGATCAAAATGATCACGCAATCGCGGGATTGCTTTGATCCATTTCCCCCTCCTTTTGCTAAGCCCCGCAGGGCTTAGCACAAAGGGAAAAAACAGGGATCAAAGCAATCCTGCAGTGCTTTGATCCCCTTCCCCCTACACTTGCTAAGCTCCACTTAGATTTCTTAATTTTTTAGAAAAGTGGGGGGGCGTCTTATACATGGGGCATCTTATACACAGAAACATGCGGTAATAATAATTGTGTACTGTAGAGTTGCTTCTGACTTATGGTGACTCTTTCTAGGGTTTTCTAGCTAGAGAATACACAGACATCATTTACCACTTCCTTCTGTTGGGGGCACCTGGGACTGTGCAGCTTGCCCATGACCACACCTGCTGGCTCTTCTTCCAGGAGGCACAGTGAGGAATCAAACTCTCAACTTGTGGCTCCACAGCCAGATATCTAACTGTTATCCAGTCAGCTAATTCTGCCTTATGGCGACCCTTTTTAGGGTTTTCTAGGTAGAAATTTCTCAGACGTGATCTATCACTGCCTTCTTTTGGGGGCATTCTGGGACTGTGCATCTTACTCAAGGCCACACAAGCTGGCTCTTCTGGGATGCACAGTGAGGAACCAAACTCCCTGAGCTATCCATTCCACTAGGATTACAGTAAAATTAAGTCAATCAAAGATCTAGCATAGGCAAAACCTTTGTAAAAGTCATAGTCTAAAGACAGAAATAAATACTCAGGATTTGGATGCCATTCTCATTAACCTGTAAAGCAATTTCTGCTAAGATTCCTTTTACTCATTGTAGGGCTGTTTCTCCACAATTGCCAGGATATTGCAGAAATATGTTTCCATTACAGAGGCCTGTTGTTTAGGAGTAATAGCCATTGAGGTAAGTCGGTTTGTATCAATAAAAAGAGAGAATCTAATTTTACACACTTTGATATTCATTGTCCACTACAGTGTATACTACTGTAAAAGCATTTACTGTATAAGGCTTCAAACGGTCACAGTGTGTATGTGTGCCTTGATTTGTTTTAGTTATGTGTCTTTAGGTTGTTTCTCAGTAATGGTCATAAATTAATGGCCTCTCAGAAGTCCTAAAATTACTGTAAGATAGTTCAGATCTTGCAAACTAAAGGCCAAGACTTGGTTTCCTTTAATGAATCAATCTTTCTCACATTACGTCTTCCTCTTTTCCTGCCTTCAATTTTTTCTAGCCTCATTGTCTTTTCCAGTGAGTCTTGTCCACTCATGCTGTGACCCAGGTATGAGTGTCAATTTAGTTGTCTTAGCTTCTAGTGAGAGCTTTTGCTCGATTTAATTGGAATTAATTATTTTGTCTTTCTGGTTGTCCATAATAATATCTAAAATTCTCCTATGACATTACATTTGAAATGAAACCGTTTTTTTCCCTGCTAGCTTTCTTCATCATCCAACTTTCACATCTATATATTATAAGCATTCTTACCACAGTAAGAATGGATTACTGTGTCATAAACTTACCTTGTCATAAGCTGCCAAGCATCTTGCCTGAAACATTTAATGTGCATTATTTATCTATTACGTTTTTAAATACAGAGAATATGTTTTGGGTGAAATTTCTGAAGAGCTCCAAGTTTCCTTGCCACACAAAATCAATTCCCTCTAAAATCTGAGAACCCTCTGAGTGAGATGCCCCATATCTTACATAGAGAGGATTGGCCTCTATTTGAATGTGTCCTCTGAGGTGCAGAGAATCTTTGGCTCTCCAATTATTTTAGATTTCCGTACTGTGAGGTCCTGGCCAGTGGTAAAGGACTCGGGGGAACTGAAGTCGAAAACATATGGAGGGCTGAAAGGTTCCTCACCTCTGCTCTGTTTAAATGACAACAGTTACACTTAGATTGACATGTATGCACATACATTGATGTGCTAACCTTGTGCAAATGTCCATCTTGTTTGGCTATCTTTTTGGGTGACACACTTCCTCTTTTCTGACAATGAATTATGTTGTCACCTATAATAAGAGCAAGAATGCTGTGGGAAACATGATGAACACAGCTCCACTCACAGGTACAGTGGTGCCTCGCTAGACGATGATAATCCATTCCACTGAAATCGCTGTTTAGCGAAATCATTGTCTAGCGAAAAGCATTTCCCCATTGGAAGGCATTGAAACCTGTTTAATGCGTTCCAATGGGGAAGAATCGTCGTCTAGCGAAGACCGGCCATAGGAAAGCCGCTTTGCGAACCGCCGATCAGCTGTTTAAATCGCTGTCTTGCGAAGCTTAGGTCCCGAAAACACCTGTTTGCGAGCGCGGAGGGAGCTGTCAAAATCGTTGTCTAGTAAAAATCGGTTTGCGAAGCAGGGACCAAACACTGTCCAGTGACATTCCCTCATAGGAATCACTGTTTTGCGAATTGCTATAGCAATCGCAAAAAGCCAATGTCTAGCAAAAAAACTGTCATGCGGGGTAACTGTCTAGTGAGGCACCACTGTATGCAACACAATGTGCTGCCCTAGTAATGTGTACAAAACACACACTATGGGAGAGTGTCATCCAGGGCCAATGGAGAGGACAAAAAACCACAGGGGGAATCAAACTCCCAACGTCTGGCTCAGCAGCCAGATAGCTAAACCACTGAGCAATCCCAAAGACCTGGATGGCTAAGGGCTCTCCAGCCCTTCATTAGAGATGGGAACTGGGGGAGGGCAAAGTTGCCTACCTCAAAAAGGGACTAATGTGGAAATTTTCCTAATTTGGTTTCTTTGCTTTTTGTTTCAGATATTTGCCATGTTCTTTGCATGTTGCCTCTATAGATACTTTGACTGAAAGAAATGGATGGCCCTGAAGAAAATGAAAACAAAATTAGTCTCCAGATAAAACACAACTGGGGAATGCACAAGATTGAAGACTCTTGTATATGTCTATGTGAACTGTACATATTTATGTGGGAATGCCTCTCCCCAAGGTTGCTAAGCTGTTATCTGTGGTAGTGAAGAGCACACTCTCCTAGTGGATGCAGCTGCTTCTGACGAGGCAGGGCGGCTGCCCATTCTTCCTCTTTCCCATAGAGTCACGGAGCATAACTTCAAAGCCTTTCTTCGGCCAATCCTAATTGGCATTATGTAACCAGTGCCCTATCTGTATACTATCAACAATCTGTAAGCTTGTTAAGGTTAATAAAAAGGAGCCCTCCTCTCGGGATGTCACCCGGGACGGGCAGGGGGACTTCGCTGGCAGACATCTCTGTGTCGACTCATTTCATTAACTTCTCTCTCTCTAAAGTTAATTGCCTTCTTAATTATCACCCACTTTCTCTTTCTGTGATCACCTTCATAATTAGCCTTTCTTTAAGTTCTGTGATAACTACATATGTACAGTAAAACGTCCTTATCCATGGGATCAGTATCTGATGATTCACTTATCTATTATTAAAAGAAAATATTTTTTAAAAATCCGTAATTTTTTCTCATGTATTACCAGAACCAGCAACTAGAGGGAGACAGACTGTTTTATCAATACTTGTTAGTGGAGAATACATAGCATCGCCTCTGGCCAGTTCTGGTAATGGTATGTATAAACATTTTTTCTGTTTTTTCCCCCTTTTAACATGCTCTTTTTCACATTGGTGCATTCTCTATTATCCACATTTTTCAGTATCCATGGGGGGGCGGGGCTTGGAACCAATCCCCAGGTATATGGAGATCCTACTGCATAACACAATTGCTCTGTCAAGCCTTGAGCGACCTATCTTTGTTTGGAAGTTTAAATGAAGATAAATGGTTCCAATGTTATTCAGTATGTGTCAAAATATTACATCTTACAGCTTCTGCGGTTCAGTCGGGTCAGTTGTGCAAAACATAACCCACAAAAGTTCTTGCTAGTCTAGTTGAACCCATTTTGTCTTGAACCCAGATGGAGGTGACTTCAGAAAACACCAGTGGTAAGTGATCTGTACAAAATTGTTGTTCCTCCTCTACCACAAGCTTATAATGGGCAGAAATGTCTGTTTCACATGATCAGGAGTAAAACCAATGTAAAAGTTTGATATTAATATGGCAATTTAAGCCTTCTTTGGGCTTTCCAAAGTATGTGCATTACTCAGGGGCAGAGGAGGGCCATTCTCAGTCCAGGGCTTGGGCAGCAGAATGACGGTTGTTCCTGACTACTGTGAACAAAGGAATTTAACTCATGCTTCTCATCTACACAAAGCAAAACTCATAAATATCCTTAATTAAGAAAATTTATTAATGGAAAACACAACTCACAAATGCCATCATAATAACAATAGATAATCATTTTGGACCTAATCTTAGAGCTACATCTATATGACCTCAGGGTAGGAAAGTATTGTGTCTGTCTCAGACAGGGTGTTGAGCAGAAATCTGAAACTGGGGCTTCCAGAAACAATGTACAATATGAGAAACTAAACTATGCCAACTCAATGCTATAAGCTTAAATAAGCTTTCTAATTAATACAGAAATCCAGCTTTGAAAGCAAGACCAGCCAAATCATGGTGGATTGCTTGATCGCTATAAAAGTACACAAAAATTCCAGCATGTGTTATAAAATGCTTTGATTCAACTATTTTACTGTTTATGTCAGATTTTTTACAAATTAAGCAGCAAAGCTAGTACCTCAAAATGAATCCCGAGCGACTTCCTTACCAACTCCTTGCCGCTCATTCTCTCTTTCAAACTGCTCCTATGGTTATATCACAGAATCCTACCTATACCGTCAACCCCTTCACCCAGTGGGGAGAGGGCCCCCCCTTCTCAGTAGTCTAACAGCTTTCGGTCAGCATACTGACAAACCAGCTAAAATTAAATTCATTATCTGAGGATAGTTTCTTCCACAGTGAAAAGGCACCAATCCCATGTATGAGGTAGGTTGCAGCAGCCTTAGAGGAACAGGGAGGCTTCCAAAAGTATAAAAATACATAAATGGAAAGAAAATCCAGAATAGCCCATTGGGGATTAAACATAGAGGCCACTGAATGACTTTGGGGAAGTTGATGGAAAACTAACAGTGATAGAGGAAGAAATGGAAAAGTTTATGGCTGAAAAATGAAAAAGGAGATGGTTGCCTGGCAGACATATTTAACAGCAGCACTCAACACTGCAACATTTTGTTGCAGGTCCTACTAAAGATGCATATATGAGTCACTGCTGGCCATTAACATGCATTCTCCTTAAAAAAGGAAGGTCACCCATGATTATGACAGCTCATTAGGTATTTGAGACCAAGGTCCTTTGGTGGAAGGCATTCTGATAATTAATGGTAAAAAGACTCTGCTAAATCTTTAGTACATTTTAATTTTAATACATTCCTAAATCAAATCATTCCATGTTATCTTTATTAGTAGAACTCAAAGTGCAAATTAGATTTAACTTCAAATGTTGGCTAAGCAAGAACTGAAAAGCTGACAGGCAGAAAACATAAGGTCCAGTCACCCTTGCTAACCTAGTTTAAAAATGGGAAAATTTGGGTGAGAAATGCATTATAATAGGCAGCAACAGCACACAGCTGAAAAGGGAAGTAAATGAATCCAAAACAGCATAATTCAATCTTTGACCCTCCAGACATTTTGGATTTCAGATGCCAGACACAAGACCATTGGCTATGCTAGATGGGGTTACAAGAGCCAACATTCAAGACCTATGGCTGCCCAGGAATGAGAATGAATGAATGAGATGACTCATGCCACTTTCTAATCAAATATGGCTGTTGAATACAGACCATATGTCTGTAATATAGCAGAGAGGTAGACCAACAGTAATTACACAATAAATTTACATTAAATATCCAGTTCCTGAGCTGTAATTTAAGCTATGTACATATATGCCATGCACTGAATCATAAGGTGTGGAGGCAAACTCCCATTCCTGAGAACTGTATGGCCCCTTTGCAGGGAAATCACAAATGCAACAACAGGTTCTCATTTGCTTAATTTCTGTTTTGAAAAAAGTTGAATGAAGGGAAGATGGGAGGATGACTGAGGCAGAAGACTGGAGTATGTGTCCAAGTCTACTGTAGCATGAGGTTATACTGAAAGGAAGTTGCATCTTCATGATTAAGGAAGCCAACACATCTGTCCTGCTTTAATCTGAGCTGAGAAAGCAAGTTTTTGTCCTAGGAGATGTTCATTTGGTCCTATATCCATCTACAGACATCACCAAATTGGTACTCTCCAAATGTACTGGATTGCAGCTCTCATAATCCCCAGCCTACATGGTCAAACACACGGAGGGAACCAGCTGAGGAAAAGTTCTCATCTGGAACAATGTTTTACCTGCATCCAGAACAGAATGGCTATCCTTAGACCACTCAGATTACATTCAACCGTATGAGTTTTACCTGAAACAATTAGATATAATTTTTTATTTTATTTATACCGTCTTTGCCAAAAAAAAAAAGGCACTCAAGGTGACCAACAAGAATAAAATACAGATGAAACGCAAAATCTTAATCAAAATATAACGTACAAATAGATAAATTATGAACACAATAAAAGAGGTGGCCAGCACCAAACTGGTAGGGCCCCCTTCAACAGCAGACCAGCTTGCATGTCTGCAAGAAGGTCTGCAAGAATAAATATGCATTCTTCTAAATCACCTTGGTTCCAGTCTTATAAGGCTTTGTAAGTCATAACTAGTACATCAATGAAGATGTTGTAATATAGGAGTTGCTAGTTTCCTGTCACCGGCTTTGATCAACAATCTGACAGCAACATTCTGGACCAGCTGAAGCCGTTTAAACGGGATGTAACCCTCGGACAGGTGAGGCAGATGAACTAGCTTCAGCTGGATCCCATTGCCACTGCTGAAATCTGGGGATACAGTATACAGGTTCCGGGATAAATCCAGGGACACACTCAAAGTGTGAACCCAAGTCTGCTCAAAATATGAATGGGAATATAACTTCATTCAGTACTGGTTACTTCCCTACTGTCTGACTTGCCATTTGTTCAACTTAGTGTCAGTTTAGACAGATCTGTTTGCCATTGTGTAGGTCCTCAGCCACTCCCACCAGGAGAGCATTGGCATGGATATTATCAAGCGCCAACAAGCCGAAGGGTTTTTACAGATTTTTCCCTGAAACAAACCTGCATAGCTCAGGAAGGGAGACCACTGGGCAGTAGCATGGGAGGAACCCCACCAGAACCCCAATTTTATCCAAAGCACCTGCCTTCAGAGATATACACAGAGACCGGGAAGACTGATGGATGGAACACCTAGTCAGGGGATGAAGCCGAAGTAGATTAGAGCAAGCTTATCCCACTCCCCAGGCCTCACATGCTGTCTCACAAGCAGACATAAGTGCTAAGACGTCTCCACAGTACATACATACACAGAGACCTGGAAGACTGATGGATGGAACACCTAGCCAGGGGATGGAGCCTGACTAGCCGAAGTAGATTAGAGCAAGCTTATTCCACTCCCCAGGCCTCACATACTGCATCACAAGCAGACATAAGCAGAGGTGGGATTCAGCAGGTTCGCACCTAAGCCACATGCTCATCCAGAATCAGGCCCTTGATGTTTACTTTCCCATTCACCAACCTGGCATCCAGCAGCACTATCTTCAGCTCAGGGGAAATGTCACAAAAACTACTCAGGCTATTTAGGTCCCTGAAACTGGGAAACAATTTAGGAGCAAACACAGCCCTTGTTAAACTTCCTCCCTCCTGCTGTCTCTGTGTGTGCCCTTTCCTGTTAAAAGTATTTTTAATCTTAGCCTCCTTGCACCTTTAAAAAAAAAATATCTCCTGCCAGAACGCAAAAACTGAAGCTCTGGTAACAATGACCCACCTCCATCCCCGAATCAGGGAAGCTGATACACAGTATAAATTGCCACCATTCCTTCTTCCATTCTCTCACACAGGTAGAATGGCCCTTGCCTTTCTTCATTAATAAAAAGACTTTCCTAAAGAGGTGGATCTTTTCGGTGTCAACCTTCTGGTGAAAACCTACAGGTGACAGGCCCACCCTGTGGCAAGCTTCCCCTTTAGGCCTTGGCCAGAGGAAGCTGGTGTAAGGAGTCAGACTAATGCTCCCATTGAAGAAAACCAAGCTTTTAACCCACAGGAATATCCCTAGCACAGGCCCAGGTAAAAAGGCATGCAGGTTAGAGAACATACACTCAGTCTAGAGTAGAATGTCTCATCTTACCCCAGACTCAAAGTCTCAGCAGGTAGTTTTGTTCTTCTCTCCCTCCAGGCAAGTTTTTCTGGCAAATTGTAATTCCAGATAAGAAATATCCATTTGTATGTTTTGCTGTAGAGAAACCTCTCTAAATCATCCAGAAAGGAAAGGGCAAGAAGCTGATCCAGCAGCTTCAGTGAAAAACATATTTTTGTAAAAATGTGCTTCATGCTGTTTTGCTGAACAGAAGTCCACAAGTGACTTCTTTTGTGTACCCTTGGCTTTGTGCTATAGGATGCAAGCACCTGAGAGATATAGACGAAAATTGACACAGTGAGCGGTGTTAGAAGTAGAGAAGTGATGGTCCTTCATCCACCTTCACAGATAGCATTTTGGAGAAGCTGTGAAAGGACTGCTCATCTAGGGGCAGTAGATATGGATACCAGACAGCCAGTGGGAATTTTGGCAGAATGTCTGCAGGGCTACAAGATGGGCTTGCAATTCTGTTCCTACATCCAACTCACGTACTTCTCCAATCCCATTAAAAGATAGCAATATTAATCGAAGCATGCCAAGGAGGGTGGACACAAACTATCCCAAGCCTAGTGACAGAAAAGATCCATGTACATCTCCCTGATCAGCTGAAGACATTATCAGTTGGGCACATTAGTGGAGAATACTTCAAGGGAGCTTCTAGTGCTTTGGGAAAGATCACAAGTACTTATTTTGCAAATTACACAGCCACTCATTATGACTCCAAAGGATCTTGGGGTTGTTGGAGCAGCTTAGTGAAAATGTCAGTCCAGTGCACACCAGCAGTAGGAACAGTAAATAGAGGAACTAAAAATAGAAGTGCCAATATCATACCAACCTTATATAAACCTATAGTGCAACCACAGCTGGAATGCTAAGTACAGTTCTGGTAGCTGGATCTGAAAAAAGGATATTGCAGACCTGGAAATGTTGCAGAAAAGGGCAACGAAATGATCAAGGGATGAAGCAACAGCTCTATGAAAGAAGATTACAATGTTTGGGGCTTGCTTATCTTAGCAAAAAAATGCAATCAAAGGGAGATTTATGCTAGAAATTCATAAAAAACTTGGTGTGGAAAAAATGGCTAGGCAGCTCCCCTCCTGCCCCTTTCTGTCATAATATTAGTATTTGGAGTCATCCAATGAATCTGAATGGTGGGGGACTCAGGACAAATAAAAAGGAGTATTTCTTCACATAATGCATAGTTAAACTGGGAGATTCACCGCCACAAGATATAGTGATGGCAACCTGCTTTGATGGTTTTAAAAGGGGGACAAATACTTTAGTGAAGGGAGCTTGAGCCATCAGTGGCTATTGGTCAGGATGACAATGTGTCATGCCCAGTCAGAACGCAAAAACTGAAGCTCTGGTAACAATGACCCACCTCCATCCCCGAATCAGGGAAGCTGATACACAGTATAAATTGCCACCATTCCTTCTTCCATTCTCTCACACAGGTAGAATGGCCCTCACCTTTCTTCATTCATAAAAAGACTTTCCTAAAGAGGTGGATCTTTTCGGTGTCAACCTTCTGGTGAAAACCTACAGGTGACAGGCCCACCCTGTGGCAAGCTTCCCCTTTAGGCCTTGGCCAGAGGAAGCTGGTGTAAGGAGTCAGACTAATGCTCCCATTGAAGAAAACCAAGCTTTTAACCCACAGGAATATCCCTAGCACAGGCCCAGGTAAAAAGGCATGCAGGTTAGAGAACATACACTCAGTCTAGAGTAGAATGTTTCATCTTACCCCAGACTAAGAGTCTCAGCAGATAGTTTGTTCTTCTTTCCCTCCAGGCAAGTTTTTCTGGCAAATTGTAATTCCAGATAAGAAATATCAATTTGTATGTTTTGCTGTAGAGAAACCTCTCTAAATCATCCAGAAAGGAAAGGGCAAGAAGCTGATCCAGCAGCTTCAGTGAAAAACATATTTTTGTAAAAATGGGCTTCATGCTGTTTTGCTGAACAGAAGTCCACAAGTGACTTCTTTTGTGTACCCTTGGCTTTGTGCTATAGGATGCAAGCACCTGAGAGATATAGACGAAAATTGACACAGTGAGCGGTGTTAGAAGTAGAGAAGTGATGGTCCTTCATCCACCTTCACAGATAGCATTTTGGAGAAGCTGTGAAAGGACTGCTCATCTAGGGGCAGTAGATATGGATACCAGACAGCCAGTGGGAATTTTGGCAGAATGTCTGCAGGGCTACAAGATGGGCTTGCAATTCTGTTCCTACATCCAACTCACGTACTTCTCCAATCCCATTAAAAGATAGCAATATTAATCGAAGCATGCCAAGGAGGGTGGACACAAACTATCCCAAGCCTAGTGACAGAAAAGATCCATGTAGGTCTCCCTGATCAGCTGAAGACATTATCAGTTGGGCACATTAGTGGAGAATACTTCAAGGGAGCTTCTAGTGCTTTGGGAAAGATCACAAGTACTTATTTTGCAAATTACACAGCCACTCATTATGACTCCAAAGGATCTTGGGGTTGTTGGAGCAGCTTAGTGAAAATGTCAGTCCAGTGCACACCAGCAGTAGGAATAGTAAATAGAGGAACTAAAAATAGAAGTGCCAATATCATACCAACCTTATATAAACCTATAGTGCAACCACAGCTGGAATGCTAAGTACAGTTCTGGTAGCTGGATCTGAAAAAAGGATATTGCAGACCTGGAAATGTTGCAGAAAAGGGCAACGAAATGATCAAGGGATGAAGCAACAGCTCTATGAAAGAAGATTACAATGTTTGGGGCTTGCTTATCTTAGCAAAAAAATGCAATCAAAGGGAGATTTATGCTAGAAATTCATAAAAAACTTGGTGTGGAAAAAATGGCTAGGCAGCTCCCCTCCTGCCCCTTTCTGTCATAATATTAGTATTTGGAGTCATCCAATGAATCTGAATGGTGGGGGACTCAGGACAAATAAAAAGGAGTATTTCTTCACATAATGCATAGTTAAACTGGGAGATTCACCGCCACAAGATACAGCGATGGCAACCTGCTTTGATGGTTTTAAAAGGGGGACAAATACTTTAGTGAAGGGAGCTTGAGCCATCAGTGGCTATTGGTCAGGATGACAATGTGTCATGCCCAGTATCAGAAACTATCTGCTCCTGTATATCAGTTCCTGGGGATTGTAAGACGGAGAATGCAATTACACTCATGCCCTGATGGTGGGCTTCCCATGGTCAAATGCTTGGTGAAGAGATGTGTACATACATCTTTGCACTTGCTAGTGGAGCCGTTTCCATGAGGATACAGAATCTGTTTTTCCTTCTGCCCTCTCTATTCTTACAGCAGAACAAAAACGGAACACAAGCAGCATTTTGAATCTGCGAAGGACTCTGATCATCCAGCGTGAAACTTATTGAGACCCAGGCTTTAGCCATATGTTGATGCTGCTTATGATCAGCCATTCAGCCTGACTCTTAGTCACTGTGATGCGCACACACTCGGGGGCAGAGGCTGTGCTGCTCTCCAGGTTCTGTCCGTCAAAGTCTCCATGCTCAAAGTGTCCTACGGGAACGTACGTGACACACTGCAGCTTGTCCTTCTGGGTGCCCAACTCCACAAGTCCAGCCCGGAGATAGTCCCCTGGGCGCTGCTCAGACCCTGTATGGATCTGAATGCGGGAGATGTGAGCAGCCTTCTTAAACACAATGGTGAATGTGTTGCCAGCAGAAGGGGCCTTGCCCCAGAAATAGTCTGCCATATTGCTGTATGCCTTATTGGGCAGGTAATTCTCAAATGTCACAATATCTGTCACCATGTCTGCAGGGGGGTTGTCAGGGAATCTAGAGAGGTCCTCTTCAAAGTCCTCATCTTTCAGCCTGTTTGCCATGCCTTGGAAGGAAGAGAAGTGGCCCATGTGCTGGAAAAGAGATGGCTTGAAACGAATGACCTCTTTTTGGGTGAGCAGGAGGCGGAAATGCACAAAAAGCCAGTCGCATGGCATCTCTTGGTAAAAAAGCAGAAGGAACTGAGCAAGCCGAGGGAGATCACTGGAATGGTACAGCTTGCCAATGTAGCCAAGCTTCGAGAACTCCACGGTGACCCAGTAGGAGCCCTCAAGGGACACTAACCTATTCCGGATAGTTCTGAAGAAGGATTTGGAACAGTGGACATCATCTTCTATCATGAGGTAGTAGGTGGAGAGGTTGGCAGCAAAGTTCATGAGGTAGGCGTAATCCACATTTTGCTTGGATCTAAACTGGACACGGTCTTCCGCATCGTTAAAGTTTCTCTTTAGGCCTTCCAGGGGAGGGTAGTACTCAAAAGGAGCGTGGACAACCAACAGGTGGCCCAGCAAAAGCTGTCGAGCAAACCTTTTGGTAATTTTCTCCACCACTTGAGCATTCCAGTTCTCATCTGGATCAGCTAAGTGTACCACCACCACCATCTCTCTCAGCTCTTCCTGCGCAGACTGTTCAAAGACTGATTTGAGGGTTTCCAAGAGGTAGTTCCCACGTTTCCGCTTGACAGAACATAGGCCCACCGTGAGGAATCCTGAAATCAACAGCAAAGAGGTAGCCTTCAGGAATCACTAAAATGCTAGCAATCAGGGGAGTACGTGAGCCACGGCTTGCAAGGTCAAAGTCTTTGGACTTTCTCAGAAGCAAGGGCTATGACATGACCCATGACTCTCACTTCCAGTCACATTTCTCTGTCCCCTCTGGGCTTAACTGCAATTCTTAAAGCAGCTGGGAAATAAACTGATTTGCCTTGGGACAGTATATTTTCCAAGCTCTTCCTGATGTAATGCAGGGAGCATTTGTGTATATTCTTTTTTAATTTAAATTTTTTTTTTTACTCTGCCCTTTTCCTTAAAAAGGACTCAAAGCAGCTTTCATAATTAAAAAAACAGTATTTAAAGCTATATTTGAGTATACAAACACTAAAAAGGATCAAACAAGTACCATACTAAAAAACATAAGGAACACCAAAATACATTCAAATCAGTATGGTAAACAATCCATTTAAACCACCCACTCAGGCAGCCAGTCATGGAGAGAAAACATGCCTCAGTGTTTGGTCTTAAATGGGAAACTAACACCCATTAACTTTACAAAAGACCTGTTGTTAATTTGTTGATATGGACTGATCAAGTTGCCTTCACTTTTGTATCTTCTTTATAGATTATATGAGGACTGTCATCATAAGTACTGGCACTCACAAATTTGCCACTGCCAGCAATGGTTACAGTAGTTGTAAAGTTTCTGAATTAATGTCCACCACAGTTCTTTGCTTCTGAACAAATCCATAAGAACAAGGCTGCTAAATGAAAGGGATTGATAACCAATTCTAGAAAATCAATTGGAAGTATTTATCCATATTGTGAAGAACTAGCTAACTTAGGAAACTTTCTGAGACAAAATCCAGTGATGGTTCCAGGCCAATGTGACCTGGAGATGAGAAAAATACATAGATTCAAACAAATACAAATAAATACAGTGGTGCCTCGCATAGCGAGGTTAATCTGTTCTGGATTAACCCTCGCTATGTGAAAACATCGCAGAACGGAACATAAAAACCCATTGGAACGCATTAAACATCGTTTAATGCGTTCCAATGGGCCCTAAACTTACCGTTCAGTGAAGTTTCCTCCATAGCGGCAGCCATTTTCGCACCCTCGGTAAGAGAGGGGATGGCGCGAAAACACTGCGCCCGGCCATTTCGGGCGTCTGGTGGCCATTTTAGAACTCCCGAATAGCTGATCCGCGGGCATCGCAAAGCGAGGATCGGTAAGCAAAACGCTTACCGATCGTCGCTATGCGAGTTTTGCCCATTGGGACGATCGGTATGCCTCCGCATTAGCGATCCTGAAAAGGGGATCGCTATGCGGATTCGTTGTTGTACGGTGCGCTCGTTAAGCGAGGCACCACTGTACATTCCACAACCCATTGTCCTCTAGACTAGTTGTAGTCTAATTCTAGTCAATAATCTTGTTGGCTGCAGATGATGAGAGGTCTAATCCAACACACCTGGGTAATTACCAAACTGGGAAAGCCTACTGTAGAGCAGGACACCAGAGAATAAAAAACGGATCTGCTGAATTTAAATTACATCAGCTAGGATTAATGACTCCTGATTATTTAACAAATGCAACAACTGATTCCACTCTCTCCCAAAGTATACTGTTCAGAGAAAGGTGTGAGGGAGAGAGATACACAGGTGCATGAACAAGTATGGATTCGTGTGCAGAAAGGCTTTGAGTACCATTCTTAGAAACAAATGTGCATGATCAGAAGAATTTTTCAATCCTAAAGTCTGAATTCAATTGCTAGTCCCAACTAGAGCAGACCCAGTAAATCAATTGCTGAATGTGAGTCAACATCTACGCAAACCTCAATAATTCAGTGGGGATTAGCAATTGGATTTAAGACTAAATGTTTCCCAGGCTCCAGAATGTCTGATCTTTGATTCCCACAGGAAACGAAAGTGCATTCCACAAGTGTGCTTAGTCCTTGTAGGAAGGATAAGTCCACCCATTGCTATTAGCTATTAGCTAAGTGAAATGTGTGCTGCAGGAAGGACTGTCTGCTTATTGGAAGCATCTTGCTGATTATTGTGGTAAACAACATAAATAGACCTTCTGTCTCTGTTTCTATCTTGGGAACAATTTGTATTTTCTTCAATTCCCTGTGCACATTTGATGGGAGAAATCTTATTGCTAACTCCAAAACCACCACCACTGCCACTACTCTATACCACATTGAACCCACTAATTTTAACAGTGCTACGAGCAAAGCTTGCCTTTGCCTTCTCTCGTCAGTTTTCTGAAATCCTGCATTAAGAACGAGATTCTAGAGCAGTTGCCTAGAAGATCTGTGTCATTCATTTCAAAACGAAACGAAAGAACCTGGGATGCAGATGTCCATTAAGAACGCCAATGAGGGTATGGCAGAAAAGGACATGACTCAACATGAGATGGGAAGAGAGCAAATGGAGAAAGGAAACTGGTTTTTGGACTATGATGAAGGCAAACAGTGGCAGACTCCAGCCATTCTTGAATCTCCAGGGCCATGCCCCTCTCTTGAAGGTCAACCTGCCCTCAGATGCAAGAGAGGCTGCTGTTCAGCTGCCAGTGGTTCATCTACCAGTTCAGATGGCTTCTGTACAGGGGATGGAGGACATCATTCTGTATGTAGCACAGAAGGGACAGGAAGCATTTTGTGCTCTCCTTCAAGAAGCAACAAATTATCTTTGGGTCTGGCCCAGCCAACAGAAGCAGCCCCCTTCCTTCTTCAAGAGGAATTACAATCAAAGAGGAAAACAGACAGCTCAAGTTCTATTCCCCCACCGGGGGAATGGTGTAAGGTCAACAGTAGGCAAAAGAGATGTAGGTCTTGTGGAAGCAGATCAGCACCAGAGCTTGGGAAAGGTTCCTTTGTGTGGACTACAACTCCCAGAATCCCCTGCCCAGAGACGCTACTTCCCTTGTCCTCTGGGGATCCTGTGAATTGTAGTTCAAAAAAGTAACATCATCAAGAGCAAAAATATGGCTACACTGCAGAGAGTAATTTTCAAGAGGATAACTTAGCAGGGAGTCCTTCTACTTCCACAATGTCCCAGAACGGCCATTCTCAATTGGGGGGGGGGCATATGGTCCCCTGGACCCCCCCCAGGACATTTGAAGGGGGCCACAGACTGGAAACAATTATTTACACACTGTCTTATAAAATATGTTATTGGACTTATACAATTCTGATTCAGCCTATATCCTTTCATGTGTTTATGGCTGTGCCAAAAAAAAAAAAAAAAGTTGAGAATGGCTTTCCTAGAATGTCCCAACTTATTTCAAGTTGCCTCTAGAGCTTATCTGGGTGGGCAACATGTGGCCCATGGACTGCATGTACTTCCCCCAAAGCCTAAATGCAGGCCTTTGGCACCTCTGCAAGATTCACATGCCTCCAAATTTTAAAACTTTTTTAAAAGAGAAAATGGGCTCAAGAACTTTTGTGAGTTCTAGGGGGTATGGGGAGGGCAATGTGCTATGTTTTGACAGCCTCCAGCATTTCTCAAGCCACACCCCACTTTTTAAGAAAAAAACTTTGGATTGAAGCTTTTTCAATGACAAAAAAGGCATAATTTTGGTACGAAAACAATTGAGGTGTGGGTCATGGCAGTGGATACATCCTTCCCAGGTCCATGGAAAGGTGTATGCTACTCCTGGGCCTTTGGCAATCACCCACTTCTGAGTGAGACAGCCCATTCTTCTACAACAGGCTGAACTACAAACTCCTTTGAGTGCCAGCTTCTATCAACAATTCCACACTTTTTTTGTTTGCTTGCCTGAGGTACTCACTCTTTTGGGTTGGGGGAGTGCCAGCAAGAGAACGATAGGAGACGTTCAGAAAGTTGGTGGCATTGCTTAGCTGTTGAAGACTTTGTCGGTTCCAATCAGCATGAAGTTGGTACATTCCCAAATCCTGAGCCCACTGCTGTATCTCTTTCTGTGAAGAAACAGGTTGGCAGAAATTGTTAGAAAGGTTCACCATATATTAGAGAACACAGTTGGTTGTACAAAATGTGCATTTGCTTTGTTAGAAGAACCTGAAATTTAGGGGGTTTGGACTACAACTCCCAGAATCCCCATCGCAGAATGGCCACTAGACAAGCTGGTGGAGGAATTCTAATATCTGGAGTGCAATGAAACACCTCTCTCCCAAGCTTCTGCCTTTCTGGGAATGCATCTTCAATTGAAGATGATTACATGCTGTCTTGTCTGTTCTGACTTATGAGGAGCCTTCTCTGGGTATTCTAGGTACACTCTCTTCTTCTGGGGCCAATCTGGAATGATCCGGCTTGCCCAATGCTACACAAGCTGGCTTTTCTGCCAGGAAGTGCAGAGGGAAATCAAACTCCCGGCCTCTGGTTCTGCAGCTGGATACTCTATCTCAATGATCAATCCAGCCAGCTATTACATAGGTATAAAGATTTAATACCACTTTTACTGTCTCAGTTTCATTCTAATAATCCTTTGATTTGAGGCTTGGTGAGATTCTTTGCATTCTATGCTGTTCCTTCTGTCTGCTAAAGTACTCCAGACAAGAAACTACAGGATTCCATAGCTTGAGGCCATGGCAGCTGAAGTGGTATTTCCAATAATATAGATGTTTGTAAATTAATAGATTTTTTAAAAAAAAGAAACAAAGCAGTCTGAATATAAGAAGATCCCTGCTGGATCAGGCCAAGGGCCCATCTAGTCCAGCTTACTATATCTCACAGTAGCCCAACCATATGCCTCTGGGAGCACACAAGACAGCTAGATACCTGTCTCCTGATACCACTCCCTAGCATCTGGCAGTTTGAGGTAATGCAATGATAAAGGCATATAGATAAGAAAACTTTACAGGAACTTAATTATTTGTATGGAGAGGAAAATACTTGGTTCACAATGAATATCAAAAGCAATAACTTATCTTTGATACTCTGTTTTGTTGTTAGGGTAGGCAGGGAAGGAACACTGTAAACTATGCTGGGTACTGTCTATTTTATAGTGCATTATTTTGTACTTCATCAACTTTTTCTGCATCATTTGCCAAAATCTGAGGACATGGTTGTCTATGTTCTGCTCTAATGGACCACATGTCAGCATCCTAACATGGAAGATCTCGATCAAAACTAGGAGAAACAAAAGTCCTTACATGAAAGCAATGCCCATTTCATAAAACAATGTTGGGAGAATTGTCTCAAAAGTTTCTTAAATTTCACCAGAGCACAGGTTGCTGTCCTCTGAAGATGCCGGCTACAGAGACTGGCGAAACGTCAGGAAGAACAACCTTCAGAACACGGCCAAAGAGCCCGAAAAACCCAGAACAACCATTCTTAAATTTCTTTTGGGATAAAGTTTTCTAATGGGACAAGAGATAAACAAGATGGTATGACAGGATCTGCTGTGAATCCACTTACCCCTTGATAACTGCAGAATGGAACAAATGTTTGAAACCATGCTCACCATCTCAGGATCCTCTCGGGGCCATGAAACCAGATTTATGACAAGCAGGAACACTAGGAGGAAAATGGCCAGTGTAAGTGAACGCCTCAGGAAACACCGCATGGTGCTGGCACTCTAGAACCAAATGGTTCCTGCTGGAGACTAGCAGTTCCACAGATATTCTGGCCTCATCCTTTCACCTGGGAGACAAACAAATAAGAAATAGCTTCTCCAAACAGTCCAATCCACAGCACTGGAGCTTCAGCTATGATACTTCTTGTGTTCCTGGAAATCTTGCATTAACCTATGGTTACAACTCCCTAAATTGTGCCTGAGGAATTCTTGGAAAAATTCTGGCATGTGGATTCTAAAATAAAACAAAAGACAACACCCCTAGAAGACACACAATTCTTTCTAGTTGTTGGGGGGGAAAATCCGTATCAAGAATGCGGCTACGTATGCTTGCTTTACTGGTTGTGAGAAAGCCTTTTATAAAGTCCAAAGTGGCAAGCTGATGGAGCAGTTGGTAAACAAAGATTGAGACTTGAAAGGTAGTCATCTAACTGGCAACCGGTAGTCGCAATAAAAAGCTACAGTGAAATCTGAAGATAAGATGGGAAAGTACACCAAGGTATGAAGAATATGACAAGGACAAATACTTATTACTTTTTTCAATGACATTTAGAAAACAACTTGGCATCATTGTCAATGGTGGGATTATCTACAATAACTGATATGCCATTGATAAAGTGTTACTAGCTGACAGTTTAGGGGGCCTGCAAAGGCTACTCAATAAAGTCAGTGAAGCTAGTAACAAACACAAAATGAACAGTAAGAAAAACAGGTTCACTGTAATCAGAAAAAAGCAAGCAACCCAAGAAATGCTGTTAAGTATCCCAAATGAACATATTGAGTGTATTCACAAATATGATGACCCTGAACTTTAGCTGAATGAACACTGGAAGCATAGCCATGTGACAGAAGGCAGAACAAGGATGGTTCAAAGTACAGTAGCTTACTGAAGTTGAAGAATGTAATGTGCAATAAAATCTTAAACTGAATATGCAAACTCCATTGCACACTGTATTCTTGGCTCTACTATGGAGTGGTCATTATATGCCCAATAAGCCCTCCAAAAGACATTTCTCTCACTATGTATGTACAGTGGGGTCTTGACTTGAGAACTTAATCCGTATTGGAAGGCGGTTCTCAAGTCAAAAAGTTCTCAGGTCAAATCTGCATTTCCCATAGGAATGCATTGAGAACCATTTGATCCGTATCTGCTCTTTTCCGTCCATAGAAACTAATGGGAAGCTGCTATTCCGCCTTCAACCACTTTTGTTTCTTTTTTTCTTAGGTCAAGAAAGGTTCGGGGAAGGCAGGGAAAATACAGTCCAGACAGTACAGTACCAGGCAGTCCGAAGACTGTCTCCCAATCCACTCTCTAAACGCTGGGAGGAGTGAGGAAGCAGACAGGCACCCTTTTCACTGGCCAACAGTTAACTGAAAGTTCAAATTTTGCACTTTCCCTGCCTCCCACGTGGGTTTTTTTCTGTTTATAACTCAAATCTAAGTATGTAAGTCAAGTCAATATTTTCCGATGAGAGTGGTTTGTAAGTCAAAATGTTCTTAACTCGGGCTGTTCTTAAGTCAAGACCCCACTGTATGTGTGTGTGTGTGTGTGTATGTATGTGTGTGTGTGTGTGTGTGTGTGTGTGTGTGTGTGTGTGTGTGTGTGTATGTTACTGCATATACACACACAGCATATATACACAGATACTGGTTGTATAGGAGTCACAGGATGCAGCAATGCTCCTGAGAGGTCTACATTGACAGAGATATGGGTAACATAAGAATTGATCCTGAAATCTCAATAGATTATAATATCCTTCAACACTTCTGAGTCCAGATACAAGCATCAAGGACCACAAAGGTGAGCAACTTGATTGGGTCTGGGGGCCGTTTTTCTATCCTTGGGATCCAGGAAGTGTTGTCTCACCCTTGAAATCAATAAAATGGATGAAAACGCAAACCTGAATGCTACTGGAAGGTTGCTTCTAGTTCATTTTTCCGAGTTCAGGGACTTGTAGCCCATTTTATTGTAGATCATCTAATCCTAAAGGATGGGAAATGACTCTGTTTGCCTTTTTAAGAAAATTAGGAACATCCATGATCTGCAGAAACATCTGGAGAAGAGCACATTGGACCATGTTTTGCCCGTCTCAACTGTCTGATATTGCACAGTTTCTATGGTTCCACTCTAAACAGCTATGAGTGAAATCTTCATATTTTCCTATACCTTTCAAAGCAACAGTTAAAACTCTTCATCAAAGCAACTTCTAGCATTTTAAAAATTAGCCTTAAGAGCCATCAACACAGATTTTTTTCAGATTTAAAAACAGAAAGAGGAAATTCAGCAAAACTATTTTAGTCAGTTTTACACCAATGTGCTTTCCTTTGTTTCCTATAAATACACGAAACTCTGCTGTACCTATCAATGTTTCAGAATCAAAGAAAGGAAATCCTGTGATGTTTTTGACAGTCATCCCTCTGTGACAAACACCGAACAACATTAAAACTAGACTGGCTACTGTAATTTAGCATTGCATTACTTTCCTTGATAATACAGCCTTTTCCCCATTATAGATAGAAACATTTGTGAAAGCTTGTCAGTCTGCCAGACAGAACTCTGGTACCATGCAAAATCTCCTAGGGCTACAAACCAAAGCTTATTTTACTATTAACCTTCCCAGGTTTTAAATGTATTTATTTATTTAACATATTTTTACTCCACCCTTCACCTTAAAAAGGACCCAAGGCAGCTTATATAATTAAAAAACAATATTTAAGGCTAAAAATAGTAAGTATACAAATACTAGAAGGACCAACTACCACACTACAACATGGTAAACAAAAACAACACCGGAACCACATTCAAAGCTCTAAGGCACAACAATCCATTTAATAATGCCATTCAGGCAGGAGGTCCCTTAGGGAAAGCTTTGCGTGCTGGCTTCTTGTGGCATGGAGTTCCAAAGTCTGGGAGCAGCAACAAAAGGCCTTCAGAAGGTGGTGGGATCGAGAGAAAGGTCCCTCCCGATGATCATAACATTCATGCAGGCTCATAAAGGGAGATGCAGTCCCTGAGATAGCTTGGACCCAAGCCATTAAAGGCTTTGCAGGTCAGAATCAGCACTTTGAATTGTGCCCAGGAGCGGATCGACAGCCAGTGGATGTACTGTAACATGGAGAGAGGGGGGGCACTTTTCAGAGACAGCCCCAGGTAGATCATGTTACAGTAACTGAGCCAGGGTGTAACTAAGGCATGTGTCACTGTGACCAGATCAAACCTCTCTAGGAACAGGCACAACTGGCACATTAGTTTTAATTGTGCAAATGCACTCCTCGACAGCAATGAAACCTGGGCATCCAATCTCAGAAATGAATTCAAGAGCACCCCCAAGCTCCACACCTGTTATTTCAGATGGAGTATTTGTAGCCTCTGCTCTTTGATCAAAGAAGCCAGCAGAAGTTTCTCAATGGCTGGCCCTTCCCTGCCTTACAAGAGGCAGATTTCAAGGCACACATAACAGGAAGGGATAGCAAATGGTCCCCAGCCCCCTAACTCTAAGTATATTTGCTCCTGCTGTACCATGGATAATCCCCTCCTGGCCTACAACAACAACAACAACCAACAACAACAACAACAAAAGCCTTGTCACCACCCTCCAAGTTTCTCTTGGAGAGAAAAATCAAAGATCAGAGAAAGATCAGATTAGATTTTGATGTTAGAGAATGGACAAATTAATGACAATAGAGACACTCCTTCAGGTATGGGGATCATTCTCAACCCATATGATGCTTTTTATGATGTTATATTTACACTATTATTTATTATTATTTATTCTCCGAAACAGGAGCAGCATTTATATTGTTATATATAACAATACAAATTTTGAGATTGTTATGTTAGTTTTTCACATAGTTACGTGTGTATTCAGACGTATCCCAACAATGTGTAGTAACACACACAAAGATTTTTCCAATATACTCTTGTAGGGTCAAACCAGCACTCTGAACCAGTGGCACAATCATACAGATAGCTTAGCCAGAATACTTTTTACATTATCAGAGATTCTGGAGAGCAACCTCTTTATGTACATTCTACGCCAGTTACATTTTCCAAACCATTTTCAAAGACCTATTTATAGCATATTGCTAAACAGCACAAGACTCTAGCTAGACCATCCAGAAGACACTTTAATAGGCTGTGGAAGAAAGTAGGAAGATCAAAGAATAGTCAAGTTCAATGGGGCTACTTGGATACAGGACAAATTTTCTGTGACTGTGGACAAACTGAATCAATGCCGCACTTATGTGCATGCAATTTTTACCCCACCACCGGTACAAAAGAAGATCTAGCAAATGGCTGGGATAACATTACTGAAGTAACCCACTTCTGGTCAAAAACAGTCTAATTGTCTTAATATTTAAATTTGTTTTTAATTTTACACATATTTCATATATGTCCAATTATGCAATGCTCTGATGAGCAAAGAAACAAAGCCTACTGAAATAATTTAATTCAGTGGTCACCAGAGCACAGACTAAAGCTAGCTTAGCTTTGCCCAGATAGGGCACAGGTGGGCCATGGGCCAAAACCGACAGAAGACACTCCATGCCACTGTCAGGCCAGAACATCTAGTGCTTGAATACCTTCCCTAAAGCCCTACAGACCTTTGCAGACCTCAAGCAAAAACCAGAAGCCTGGGTTGGATAGAATTGTACTGCTTGTCCTCACAGTCACCTGTGCTTTAGGATGCAATAAAGGCTCCAGAAAAAACTCACCCTACATATTAGGGAAAAGCAAACCCATCAAATTAGATTAAACACAATGTGTTTGTTAAAGAGTCACCCTTTAACAGTACCTTAGTTCTGTCTGCCCTGATCCTCAGTTTACTTTTGCTGTCTTGTATCCTGCTACTCCTATGGTCAGTCATCAATTTGACACATACGCCACCTCACCCGCTGAAGGTGAAGTGCAGTTGTTCATCCTTGGCACACTGAAGACAAAGCACTCCAAACCTCTGGATGACTGGACTAATATAGATGTTAATTTGCATGCAAGATAAGACTGGGGCACCAAACTGGGAAGAGATCAAAGAGAATCAAGAGTCATACACACCCTGTCTCTCTCCCTGTACAGGTCATTGTAGCAGGCAAACAAGGTGAGGTCTGTGTCAAAACTGGGCTTCAACATGGACAGATGAACAAATCAAATTAGATAGTTTCCCTTCCAAAACAGGATCTCTGAAACCATCCAGAATGAAATAACTCTCAGGAGCATTTACCTGGCAGTAAGTTCTGTTGAACCCCATGAAGCTTATTCTTGAGCAGGAATGTTTAGGATTTCACTATAGCATGTTTATATTTTTAATCAAGGCATTTCTCACTTCCACATTCTAAAGATGAACAGGAAGCTATTTTTTTTGGTCCTCCAACATTTTAATCTGAACCAGCAAGGTAGAAAATGTATCTTCTTCAGAATGAGAGTGAGGAGCCATTTCAAATTAATAGCTCACCCCTTGCAAAGTTTTCCCCACCTGTGTAAGAAACCTCACCGAGGAAAACAAAGTTTAGTTTAAACTAGTGAAAAGAACAAAAGTAAAACAAGTAAGACTCAGTGGGCAGAATACCCCAATAATTACATCCTGATATGGCGGTCAAACAGAGAAGAAAACAGGATTTTTGCAACTGACTAGAACAGGGAAATCCACCTGCAAAAATCCTCTTTTCTGCACACAACTGTAACAGGTACAGAAGCCTTGTCCTCCCTCTGCGTATTGCATCTGGCCACCACCAAACCTAGCCCTCAAAGACACAAAGCTAGGAGTTCAATGAGCTTTCAATCCTGGGAGTAAATTCCCCGGCATTCCAATCAGTCTACTTCAGAGGAAACATACCTAGGATGGGAACGTCTATCTAGCTACCAACAAGCCCCTTGTGACACTGCAGAGCATCATCCGGCATGCCCGCCCTTCTTACATTTTTTTCACCTCTACAGTTTCCTGGTGTTTCAAAAGATCAGACGAAGGCAGTGTTTACCAACTCCTCACTTGCTTCGAGAATCTTGACGCCACCGGCCCTCGGAGGGCCCCAAATCACGACAAAAGCTGCCCTTTATTTAGTCCAGGAGGAACCCCCAACCTCCCTCCTTTGCCGGCCCGGCGAAGTTCCTTTCGAAAGGCTGCGAGCTACAGCTGGCAGGAAGGGGCGGCCGCCTGAGGGATTACAGAGAGCGAGTAGAGGTTCGCGAGTCACCAAGACCGGCCCGGCGGGGGCCACGACCGAAGCAGCTCTTGAAATCGCCCAGGCACCCGAGTTAAAAAGTAAAGCCAAGGGCATCCTCGACCTGGGCGAGCCCTTTATGTCCGAGTCCAGGATTCAGGAGGACCAGCGAGCCGCTCTCGCGGGGTCCAGGCGAGGCAACAGGACCTTCCAAAGCCACCTCGTTCACGGCGCAGAGGGAAAGCAGAGCTCCAAGACCTTCTGCCCGCAGGGACTGAAACCTCGGCTCTTTGGGTCCGCTAGCCTTCCAAAGGCGGAGGAAAGGGAGACCGGAGCGTCCGCGCTCCCCTCGGAGAGACCACGTGCGCCGCCGCTGCCGCGCGCTCCCGCTCTTCTTGCCCCCCCCCGGCTCGGCGCTGCTGCTGCTGCTGCTCCCGCCCGGAGCGCCGTCGACGCTTGCCCGGGAGTACCCCGCGCTTCGGGGCGCGTCGAGTCCGGGCTCTCCCGCTTGACCCGAAAAGGAGAGGCCCTCTTTGTAACGAAGTCGTAGGGAGGCGCGTCAGGACGGAGAGAACTTGAGGCTTTCGTCAGAGGAGGAAAAAGGAAGCAAATTTATCTCCCCAGCCCCGGTTCGAGCGGGCGTTGCAGCTTTCCTCCCCTCTTGCCACAGGGTCTGTTCGAGCTCTCCCTCGTGTCGCCTTTCTCGGTCCGCCCGCGCGGCGGCGGCGGCGGCGGCTCTCTCGGGCTCACCTGCCCCCTTGGGCGCGGCTTTTCCGACCCAGCCTTTGGCCCGTGCCCTGCCCTGCCCTTGCTGGCGACGACGTGGCTCTCGTCACTTCGCAGCAAACTTTCCATCCCTTGCTGCGTCCCTGGCTTTCAACGCTCGGGATTTGGAGACGTGACTGGCGCCCATTCTCGATCCATAACCACGCCTCTAACCCTCTCCTTGTTCATATTAGTCGCAAATTTCAGATGCCTCTGAAGGTGGCTACTTAGGCCACTAATTTTTATGTTGGTCCCATTGGTTCGTCTTCAAGTGTCATGAGAGTCGGTTTTAGGAGCAGAAGTCATCTTTTTGATTCCTGATGGTGTGCAGGTGGAACTGTAAAAATAAAGAATAACTCTTTTTCCAGCCGTTTTCAACAGTCATTTGTACTATGCCTGTTTCTTCCCAGATATTCATACTGAAAGAATTTGAATGTGCACCCAAATCGTCATCATCATACAAGTCTGTGGAGCAGAGATAAGGAAATGCTGTATATGGCAAACTCAGCTGTGAAACAGATTAAGTTTCCAAGAGTAACTGAGTGCATAATGGAGCAAGAATTAAAATTCACCCTGGTGATGATTATAGTTCATGTAAACGGGTGAAACAGGAAAGCATAAGTCTGTGACTCAAGGAGTAAGAATGAAACTATATTTGTATTCACTTGTGACCACCATAAGTTTAGGATTCTCAGTAACTTACATTTTTGAAACTTATTTTTGCTATAGTTGACATAGGACACCATATTTGACAATGTCCTGTGTGTACATAAAGCTTTTATCCAGACAGGATTCAGTGCGACTGGGTAGAGAGCCAAAGGTTATTGTGATGCTCATGTCTCAGTTTCTTTCTTCATAACCTGGATCTGAGTTAACTATACATCAAAGCATATTGTGCAAAAGCAGCAGTTTTACTGGAAGATTGCTTTTGCTTTTCTTTAAGGGGAGTGTCTTGGTATATGGTACAGTGGACCCTCGACTTATAGATGGCTCGACTTACAGACTTTTCGAGTTACAGACTTCTCTGGCCGCAAAATTTAGTCAGGGAAGACTCATCATTGAGTCATTAAGTCTACTTCTGTTGGAAGCATCAAGTGGATTCAGGCCATTGTGTCAACAATTAAATTAAATCTTAAGTTAGTATTTATTTATTTATTTATTTATTTAACTTGTACACCGCACACTCTACCCAAAGGTCTCTGAGCGGCTTACAAAAATTAAAATCCAATTAAAATATAATAAAAGATAAAACACAATTAAAATAGACAATAATTATTTCTGTTGTAGTGTTTATATATCTAAGTTAGCATATGGAATTTTTATGCAAGTTTTCCATATGTTTGCATCCTCTTTTGTGGTGATGCATTTCCTCTTTTTTTCCTTTTTAGTAATGCATTCAATTGTGCCCTATGCCAGGGTAATAGACTTTCTGTGTTACATTGTACTGGAGCACTGTCAGTAACTAAGAAGCGATGGTGTCATAAGAGATATTTCCTTTAATATTAGTAGCTGGCACTCTGCTGGAGTCTAACAAAGCTACAGTGCTGCTTCACATGACCAGGTTGCCAGGGTAATTGAGAACAAGAACAACAGAGTACTTGGTTTTATGTGAACAGACTGAGTCACTATAAACTCCCGTTAAAGGGAACAAGTTACATCAGGAGCTCCAGGAAACAAAACAGCAATAATGGACTTGTGCTTCATGATTCTGGAACAAAAGAATCAAAAAGCCTTTATAAACAGAAACAGGCTGTAGGTAAGCTCGGCACTCCCATTTCGTTTGGCCTCTTGAGAACTTAAAAACAACTTATTCCTGATTACAGTAAGAAACTTGAAAATGTCACCTAGAGGAGAGGTGGGGAAAGTGTAGCCTATGGGCACAATGCATCTTTATCAGGGCTTCTTTGCACTCACAGCCCACCCTTCATTGTCTGCAAAAGTCACTGTCCAACGCTTCTGGAAGCCGCCTTTCAAAGGTCTGCATCCCTGCAGATATACTGGCCACCTCTATTGGGAAAGTGAATGAGCAAAAGATTGTGGGCAATATATATTCTGCTGCTGCTTTCAGTTGTGGCATGATACGTACGTCTTTCTTGATACTACCCTGAAAATGCTGGAGTCCTACAGTTCACTTGGAAGATCTCGATACAGTTGGGATATAAAGATGCACAGAAGACTGTCCTGGATCTCCCAGCCTTAAAAATAACACTTAAGCCCCCCTTGATCATAAAGGGATGATGCAATAGTTAGGATATGATGAACAATTCTTGGCTTCTTGAACCCGACAATAAATAGACCTCTCTTGATGCATGCCAGCTGAACTAATGCTCTGAATGACAAAACTTTGATGATGAAATACTGTAGCTAGTGGATAGCTCAGTAGCTTAGGTCTCTGGCTACGGAGCCAGAGGCTGGGAGTTCAGTTCCCCACTTGCTTCCTTGAGAGGGGCTGGACTTGATGATCTATAGAGTCCCTTCCAGCCCTGCAGTTCAAAGGCTTAAAGGTTACAATGCCATGAGTTTATGGTGATCTAAATGCTACTGGATATATAAATAAAAATGGCCTAGTGTCACAGAGTAATGGTATGAGTTAATTAATGACAATAGTAAAGGAATTTGCAATGACAGTATTAATGAATATTCATTAGTCATTTTGATCATCATGACCTAAGAAAATATGTGGAAAATTTCCACTTTTCTGTCACTTGTCAGGCTGTGCATCAAAGCGTGTTGCTTATATACCGCCCATAGCACTTCAAGCACTCTCTGGGCGGTTTACAAGTTAATTATGCAGGCTACTGCATCGAAATTGTCCTTTAAAAACTACTTTTCTGTAACCAAACTATTTCTCATGAGAAAATCTTTAGAATACAGTAATAATAATTTCGTTGTATGGGTATACTGTGTATATACTTACAATGACAATAAATTATTATTATTAAACTTTTAAAATATTTCTTTTAATTTTTTCTACTTTTCTATCCGTTGCAACCAGAGTGATTTATTACAGTATGTTCCATTCATTGCATCTTGTCTTATACTCTCTAACATAATATTAATATAATCTATTCTATTTAAATCGGTGTAGATTTCATCCAGGTACAAAGAGGTTCCCACTTATTATTATCCAGCCTATCATATAGTGTATCTGTCAAAATATCCATTTCTGCTAGTCACAAAATATTCTCAATGAATTCCTTCTTTGTAGTCTTCCACTTACTGGCATATACAATTCTAACTGCATTTATCAGATGTAAGGTCAAGTAAGTCTTATTTTTTTTGAGTGTAGCTGGTAAAATATTCAATAAGAAAATTTCTGGTGTCAAAGCAATTGTAACCCTTAAAATTTTGTCTATCATTTCTTGAATCATTTCCCAAGGCCTTACTGCACGTCCACCACATATGATAGAAGCTCCGTACTTTCTTTTCATATTTCCAACACTTATTAGAAACATTTTTATACATTTTTGTTAATTTCTCTGGTGTTATATACCATCTGTAAAACATTTTGTATATATTTTCTTTTAGATGTATACAGTTAGTCATTTTAATATTTCATTCCCAAATTTGTGACCAGGCACTTAGTTCTATATTATGACCTATATTTTGAGCCCACTTTACCATGCAATCCTTCAGAATTTAATCTTCCATTTTTTGCTGCATTAAAGTATTATATAAACCTTTAATCAATTTTTCCTCTGAGTCCAGCAACCCCTTATCCAAAGGTATTTTGTCTTTCTCAATAATAATAAACTTCTAAGAAATCCTCGTCCCCATCGGACCTTCTTTTCAATGATAGATGAGTAACTGAAAGCTTCCAAACAGGACTGTAAATGTGAACTTTAGTGGGAAGTGCCATAGTGCTAACTGTGCCCCCTCCCCCAAACAAAATGGGGCTAAAAATAAGCAAAAAATAAAAATAAAAGCAATGAACTAAATTGAGACAAGCCTTATACTGTATGGATAGTAGGAAAAATATTGAAACTGACAATTACACAACTTGTGTAATTGCTCCACCTGGATAAGCCAATAATTCTCCTTTTCACATAAAAATGCTCCACCTGAATAAGCCAATAATTC